AGTACTAGAAATTTAAGACATCACTGTGAATGAATCCCTCTGTTGGCATTCGTAATTCGCTTCCCAAGTCTGTTTTGTTTTATTGGGGTTTCATTGTTTGCCTGTTTTCGCATTGCAAAGTGACCAAAATACATCTGATGTTCCTCCTTTCCCTCCAAGATTATCTGGTGTCCTCTGAACAACCTTAGCAGATGTGAGGGCACCAAAGAGGGACAGATAAAAGAAGAGATCAGTCGTGGCAAGAAGCGATCTGTGTCAACCAAAATACCCCAGATGGTCAGCTAATCTGACACCCTCTTTGCTTTAAAGAGTGAGAGACTGGAGTCCTAATAGGTCAAAATATTCAGTCTTCCTGGTAGTAAATGGTTTGGAGGCTTTAGATTTTCTTTCTTAACAACCTCACCCCCATGTTTATGCTCAGCATTCCTATTATTCTCATCAGGTTTGGTTTGTCTTATAAGAAAATCATTTATCAGCCACTATCTTCAGCACAGCCTAGAACCTTTGTTTCTTCTGGCTCTCTGTTCTAGTACAGATTTCTCTATTACCTGTACTATTGTCTCTCCAATGTCCTTGCATCTTATCTCCCCAATAAAATTATACATTCTTTGAAGAAGAGGTCATAATTTTCTAATGTCCCTATATTTATGTCTGCTATGTCACCCCTCTGTGCCTCCCTGACCAGCTCCCATCCCTGATATTTCCACTTGATGCTATAATGCTGTAGATGCTCGGAATATAGTGACTGAATTAGCATCAATAAGAAAATCCGAATTCCTAAGCCTCGGCTTCATGCCCAGCCTTGTGCTGGACACTAGATAAGACACATAATGATAGAAGCCTAAGATGCCATCCAAATCCTCTCCACAGGAAAGCTGTTTAGGCTGCAAGGAAGTAATACCAAAGAGACCTGGTTACGTAAGAAGGAATGGAGAACACCAGAACAAGTAAACATAAAATATCTATTAAAACCACACACACACACACACACACTTAAAAGGTTACTGGGAGTTTAAAATTTAAAAATTGCAATGAGAAATTTATATCCTATGTAGAAGTAAAACATATCACACTCACAGAAAGGGGGGCAGGAAGTATACTGTGATAAGGTTCATAAATTCTTCATGAAGTAAAGAATATACTTTGAAGATAGATTTCCATAAGTTAAAGATATATATTATAATATCTAAAATAAGCACTAAGAGGCATAAATAAATCGACAGAAAAGACAGATGAGACTACCAAAAATTATTTCATGTAATCAAAAGGCAGAAAAACATTAAGAAACAAAAAGCAAATGTAACAAATGGAGTCAACACTAAGATAGATTCAAATAGCATTAATTAAATGTACATATGATAATTAAGTGCAAATGGATTAAGCACTCCAATTACAAAGTAGATAGTATCAGCTTGGATGAAAAGCAAGGGTGGACTATATGTTGTCTGCAAGAATACAATATATAGCTTAATGCATAGATAGGATGGGGACACACATACCACGCAAACACAAAACATAAAAAAGCTGTTATGGTCAAAATAGAAACTGCTCCAGGGTATAGTCAACAAAAGGTATATAAGATCCCAAAAACTATAAATGAACTTATAAGAATATCTAAATAAATGGAAAGATATGCCATATTCATAAATAGGAAGAATCAGTATTGTTTAGATGCCAATTCTCAGCAAACCAAGCTATAGATTGAATATAATTATAATCAATATCTGAGCAAGATTTTTTTTGTAGAAATTGAAGCTAATTCTGAAATTGATTTGGACAAGTACAGTTAACTAATTTCTGATATGGGATTTAAAGCAATCTGTCTGAGCTAGAACGATCTTGGTAGTATAAGGAAAATAATCTAATTAAAAATGGGTAAAAGACTTGAGTAGACAACATTCCTAAAAATGATAATCAAATAATCAATAAGCACATGAAAAGTGTTCAGCATTATCAGTGACCATGTAAATGCAAATTAAAACCACAATGAGATACCATCCCATAACCACTAGAATAACTAAAAAGGTGAAGACTGACAATACTAAATGTTGTGAAAGATTTAGAACACCTAAGCTCCCTATCTTGTTAGTAGGAATGGAAAATAGTACATCACGTTTCGAAAACTATTCGACAGTTTCTTGCAAAGTTGCATATAACTGACCAGCAACCCCCTATTGGGTATTTTCCAAAAGAAATAATGCCCACCAAGATCCTACAAGAATGTTCATAGCAGGTTTAAATAAGGGGGATGAACTACTGATACCTGTGATAACAATGTAGATATTAACCTACTTGAACTTCTGCCTGTCTTGGAGACCTTCCACTTCAAGGTAGACAGACACTGTGTAAAGGACTGAGGAAGAGCATCACTCTCGAGTTGTAGCTCTGACTTGCAGCCAGCTCTAACTCCTGCTGGACAAGGGAAAATAGGGAGACGGAAGCTACGAGGGGCCCTCTGCGATCAATTCTGGAGACTGCAGCTCTGGATCTGGGAGCTCAAGAGGTTACTTTGTTAGCTCTCTGGTCCCACACACTAGGCTGGGCTAGTGCCTCACTTGGGTCCATTTGTTAAATGTGGTTCCCAAACTGGCTGACCTTCAAGCACACCTGGGGAATGTGGGCAAAAGCAGAGTCTTAAGACTAGACCATTGAATCAGACTTTTGGGGTGAGGAACAGACAACTATAGAAAAATAAGGTTTGTTAGATGTTTTCAGTGGTCATTTCAGTCTGGCAATCACTGGAACTATTTCACAGGAAGGTTAATGCCCATTGCCCACTTTGGGTGCCATAATGGGTGAATTCAATTAAAGTTATCAGTAGACCTTCATGCACACATCTTTCTATACACTGCCCCCCCCCAAAAAAAACATTACTCTTGAAAGATTAGGTTGCATTTTATTCCCATTCTGTCTCCCAGCCTTCAAAGAGGAAATGTAGACATGACAAGGAAGTAGAGAGAGAAAAAGAAAAAAAAGTAGTGGGATGAAAAAAAGCAACAATGAAAGGGATATTAAGTGGTTGAGCAGAAATGTGAGCATAAAGAGTAGAACTCACTACAAAGGTCAAACAAGAATTTGAGTCAGGTCTACACAACTGGCAACCTAAGGACAGATGTGTCTAATTTTGTGTTATATTTTGACCCAGCTTAATTATATCTATTTGACCCGGTTCAATTATATTCCATCACTGACTTCAAAAAGAATATTCAACACGCAAAGCTGAGGTGCCAAATTCATTTAAGCTGTTGCTACATGCTGTTCAGCCTTCCTTCCTCCCTCCGCTGGTTACTACTTAACTCTTTGCAACCCAGCCTCTGTACGCAAAGCAATAAATCTTAAATCTGTTCTCCCAGTGACTACCACGAGGCGGGCAGCTCATGAACTCACTCATCATCCCCTTTTCAAGCCTGTCCTTCATGACCACACTGCAGCATTTGAACCCATTTACACTCCCTTCTTCTTGAACATCTGTGCCCTCCTGGATCTAGCCTGTTCTGTCCCATTCCTTCCCATGGCCAGCATTTGTCACTAAGTCTCACTCGGTGATCAATGCTCCATGCTCAACATGAGCTAAGTTCTGGGTCACAGAACTGAGTGGGACCCAGATTCTGCCATCAAGAATATCAGTGCAGTATGACATCTTTCTTCCTCTACAATGTGGCCTGTTACCTGGATCCTCTAATTAATCATGTCCCCCCTTTAGGCATAAACTTACCTTAATTTCCCTTCTGCTCAGATCTTGTCTATTCTCTAGTTTTTCCCTACTGGTATCAGCTATTTTCTCTGGAGATGCACCCCTTACTAAACCCAGACAAACACAGCCAAAACCCAACCAAACCAAACCAAATCTACCCAAACACAGCCAAACCCAACCATACACAGCCCAAACCAGCCAAACCAAACCATATCCAGCCAAACACAGCCAAACCCAACCAAACCCACCCAAACCTAGCCAAACCCAACCAAACAAGAACAGCAGCAGTAAAAGGAGTTAAATTGGAGGTGAGATGTCTTTCACTGAATATAATCGAAATATTATTTCAGAACACATGAGCTTTGGGATCAATTTTCCTGATTTTTAAGTATTTACTTTAGACCCAGAAGAGGTTCTGAAAAGATATTCCTAGAGAGCTTCCACCTTTTGGTGTACTGTACCTTGAAAGCATCTTCTAGCATTTACCTAGAAAATGTCTGTTAGGAAGTTTACTCCCCATGTAAGGAAGTTTCTTCTTATTTTTAATATAGATAAAATACTTGAAAAATTAAAGTTTAAAGTCTGTAATACCTAGTAGATAGTGAATACTGGCAAAAAAAAATGACATTTAAAAGTGAATGTGCCCGCTATTACAGAATTTTAATTCAAAATGAAGGAGGGACACAGGAGGAAAGGTGGAAACATGAGCTTAGTCAATTAAACATGAATGTGTCACTCACTTGTAAATATTTTCAATCAAGAAAATAAACAAGATAACAAAGAATCTCTGTGTTTATTTAGTCATGATTCATAAACCATTTTATTTTGGAAAAATATTTAAAGTTTTTGATAAAAGAAACATAACCTTTCAGATAAAAGTCATGCGTGTCAAAATCCTGAAATAGTGTTACATTACAAAAAAATGAATAAAGAAGAGGTAGAGATGACTAAAAATAGATCACCTGTAAGCCTTATTCCTGGTATTGATCACTCTTTTCCTTTCACCACCAATGATAATTTGCTTTACATTAATCGGTGGAAATTGCTATGAACACTATTTTTATTTAGAATGTGATAAAAATTCATGAAAATTATTAGGAAAAATGCATGATGATGATTTATGCTAAGCTCACAAAAGCTGATCACTTCTAAAATAAAAGAAAACTGTACATATTTTTAAAAGATGTTCCACTGTTGTTTTTTTTAAACAGGGAAAGAAAGGAGACATTTTTTGTTATAAGCTTCCCTATCAGCAAGCTATAAAATGAGAAGTTTTTATCATCATCTTTAAGTTTTTAAAACTTACTTTCAAAATCCAGAAAAAAATGTGGATAGTTTTCAATTTCCCTGGTAAGGACTTTGAGCAGATTTCCCATGCCAGCAAACCTAGGAAAAGCAACACAAAACCAAATATCATTAGCAGTATGAAAATAAACTTCGAAAGCACTGACCATATTTGACAACTTGCATAAATACCCCTGGACCCCATAACTATGTCTTAACACTCTATAAAAAGCATCTTCATACTGCGAGATGGGTAATATCTTAACCACTATTTCCATGAAAAGAGTCAGGTATTCTAGTTATAGGCAGCAGACTTTAGATATAGTCTACAAAGTATTTCCCTTCCCCTCTCACTAATTCCCTGACCCCTCACAGTTAATATTTCATCTTTGCTTTGTTTCTGTGCCATTGATGCAGGAACATACCATGTCAATGGATAAGCACAAGAGAGGGTGTTATTAAAATGTCTGTCCAGAAAGGTAAGTTTCTTAAAGTGCCCGAGGAAGAGTTCAGAAAATGTAGATGTACAACCCCTGCGACCCCTTTTAGCCTCTACTGGAGGCCACGTTTCCCACAGATACAAGTCCCAGTCAAGTCAGAGCCTCTCAAAATTTGACATGTCAGTGGTAATGAGATTGGATTCTTCATGAAATGTAAAAATGAGAAAGTATAATATCCAAACTTATTCTCAGTGACATTGCATTGGCAAAAATGAATCAGACCTACACAGAGAAATACAAACTTGTTACATAGCTGCAATGTCACCCTAAAAAAAAAGAAAAGAAAAGGCCAGATGTAGTTATTATTTAAGTCAACAGCAAAACCTCTACTGCTCTAGACAGTAACCATCCTGGGGAGGCCCTCCCTGCCCCCCTCATTCACTCAGCACTTGGTGAGGGAGGCACCATCCGATGTGGGTGCTGAGCGCTTTGCCAGGCATTTCCCTGGCTCGTGCCTCAGACGCCTCGGCTGGGGAGAGATCAACTCGAAAAACCACTGGGCTCTAGAAGAGAACTAGCTACAGGGCTGCAATTTTCCAGGCGTGTGGCTTCCGAGGGTATTACGGTATTTATGCCGATACAGGAACTTCTTTAAATGCCACTGTAAGAAAGATGTGGCGAGAAGAACACACTAAAAGGACGCCTCTGTGCATGAAACGGGAAAGCAAGCCGCGCAGTGGGCGCAGCAGGTGTAGCATCTACACTCCGCAGCCTCCCCAGAGAACACTGGCAGCCACCACCCGAGGCATCAGTCGCTGACGAAGCGAGCAAAGAGTCCATGTGGGGAGGCCTGCTTCCAATCCGAGCTGGCTCCCGCCGGCTGGTATCCAGGGCAAGCTACTTCCCTCTCCAAGCCTCAGGTTTCTCCTCTGGAAAATAAATAGTTAAACGTACGTATTTCATCAGCTCGTGAGGATCAACGAGACAAAACAGAAAGTGCTTAGCATAGCCCTTAGGGGGACTGCTCAGGACATGTTATGTACTGTTATATGATGATGATCAGTCCCACCGCCACCCTCATCCTCATGATCACAACGGCCTTCAAAGAATTATTGAGGATTCTCCTAAGAAAGATACATTAGGTTGTATGTGGCGCTAGGGAAGGGGGAATGATGAGGGAGATCTTCATTCAAGATCATGAAAAAATTTCTAACCATTATGGTTGTCTGAATAGAGAATTATTTGCCTTGTGAAACACTGAGCTTCTCATCACTGGTGATGTTTAAGTAGAAATATGCTATATCAACCCTTCAAAGTACTGTAGAAATGAGCATATGTTGGGCAGACAGCTGGACTGGATAATTCTTGGAACTCTCCCACCTTAAAGTATATAAACGTGTTGAGCATGAACACACACACACACACACACACACACACACACACACACACGAGAGGCAAATGACGTGCTTCTTCCTTCCAAAAGAATCTTCCCTATTCTTTCTGTTATTCTTTCCTTTATGTACACCTCCCTTTAAGATGCTTTTGAGCAAAGGCTTGTATGGGGTAGGTTCTAGCAAATTAAAATTCGGAACTGATATAATTCATCCCTGCCACTGGGCAACTTTCACAAACCCTCTGGGTCTATAGGAAAGAATCTGTTTCCAACTTAATGACCAGTTCTAATCCAGGCTTTTCTTAAAGGAAGATGATCCTGCTGCGTCGTAGCAGCCGCCTTTCAGATGAAATGCCGTAATGGAAGTTAAATATTCTTAATTTCCCTCGTTTTGTGCTATTAATGTGTCACAAGAGACCTGAGTGGATTTAGCTTTCTCCTAAAATTCTGTCTTGTGCATGATTTTACTGTCAGGGGACCTAGGTGGGAAATATGTCAAGCCTTTAAAATTGGGAACAGACTGAAAGGAACGGATGTGGAAATACACCCAGATACGAGCTGGCTGTGGACTTGTATCTGTTCAGAGGTTATCTGAGCTGGTTGCCTGATATGGTCCAATATTTTGGAACATCTAGCTTACATCAAGCAAGGCCAGTTAAGGAACTCTCACTATTCTGGATGTCTGACACCAATGACTGTGGGATGTTGCATAGTATTAGGCGTCCGGTCCAGATGTATGGAACCTAGAAGACATTCATTTCAGCACAAGCTCCTTGAATAAGTACAAAATCATTTCAACTCCTTCATGGCAAAAGTTTTTTTAAATATATTTTTATTGATCTCAGAGAGGAAGGGAGAGGGAGAGAGAGATAGAAACATCAATGATGAGAGAGAAACCTTCATTGGCTGCACCCTGCACAGCCCCCACTGGGGGCTGAGCCCACAACCCGAGCATGTGCCCTGACCGTGAATTAAACCATGACCTCCTGGTTCATAGGTTGACACTCAACCACTGGGCCATACCTGCTGGGCAATGGCAAAAGATTTGATGCATCCTGCTTCCTCCAAGGTCCACAAGAATCCATGCAAGTATGTTCTGGTTGAAGGAGTGCAAAGCAAGTTAATATCACTTGGATGGTCCCTGAGTAGAGACAATGGTTGTTTGGAATTGGACCCAGGGCGCCACATGGAAAGGTCCCTCACCCATGGGACTTCCACTAAGCCCCAGACGCATCCTCATGCCAGAGGCTGCCTACTCTTTTCTAAGCTCCACGGTGCAGGCACAACACATTGCCATCCACCATGTTCCTAGTGAGATAGCTCAGCTAATTCACATGAAGATCATTTTTTAATATTTTATCTTGTTCAGTAAAAGAATTTAAGAGATGGTACATACCATTAGAGAATACAAATACATACATAATGGAAGTGGAGGGAAGAGAAAAGTAAGAGTAGACTAGGAAGATAAAGGTAGAAAGGCAAGGAGCATGACTTCTAGGCCATAAGACCTTCACATTCACTGGAGATGGCTTATCAATTCGGGCCTGAGCTTCTGAGAATCAAAGTAAAGGAGAAAAATGGGTCTCTTTCAAGATATGGTTTTCCAAAAATAAAACAAATGGAAAGTACAGCTGTAGGGAGCGACTATAGGATTAAGCCTTGGACTGACCTGGTGGCAAAGCCACAAACAAGTCCCAGCTTAGAGGGCATAGCCCTCTTAGCATAATTAAGCTTGACCTTATAAAGCTCCCTAGATCCTTCCTAGGTAGCTAATGGGCTGTGGGAGGTGCAGCAAGTGCTGCCAAAACAAGTGAAACTCACAAGAACATTGTAACTATGGTGACCACTACCTTGTTTACCTCTGGCTATAAAATAAAGCCTCAATTTGCCTTCTGGATCTCTCTGTGGCCTCAGCCAGGCACAGGAGATCCACCTAGACCAGCCGTGGGCAAACTACGGCCCGCGGGCCGGATCCGGCCCGTTTGAAATGAATAAAACATAAAAAAAAAGACTGTACCCTTTTATGTAATGATGTTTACTTTGAATTTATATTAGTTCACACAAACACTCCATCCATGCTTTTGTTCCGGCCCTCTGGTCCAGTTTAAGAACCCATTGTGGCCCTCGAGTCAAAAAGTTTGCCCACCCCTGACCTAGACCCAGCTTATTCTCTTTGTCTATCTTTTCTTTAATCCTTCACTGCCCCCACTCAGGCTCACTGAACCTTTGGCTGTGCTGGCCTCGCATATACAGCTTTCTATAATTAAAGGAAAAAGTGATCATGGCTATGAGATAGTTGAGAAAAAGAAATCTCCGGGTAAGAGAGTACTTCACACAGAGGAGGTCAAACAATAATGTGTAAACGCGCTTATTACTTAAAACTAGGGTTTTTGTAGAAATTGTAAAGTTTAGGTTTACTTTAAACCACACACACACACATGCCTCCCTTAGGCTCCCTAGAGGTCCTGGGACGTGATGTAGTTACTGTGCAGCACGTTGAGTGTTGTGACATCTGAATTCATTTCTGTGAGGAAGGTCTGGTTGGGGCACAGCAAGGAAGGGTCCAAGGTCTTGGCTACCAGATGACGACGCAGGAAAGGGTTTACCAATTGGACACGTTACTCATGAAGGTAGTGCAAATACTACCCGTCAGGCAGCTGTACGTATCTCCGAGTTTATTGGAAGACAAAGGTTCAGATGGTTAAGCATATTTCTGAAGATGACAAGAGAATGAAAGGTAGAGTCACATTTGACCTTGAGAGTCTAGAAACCCAAGGTCTAGGTTCTTTTCCTCACAGGAGGAGACCTGGGGCTCCAGACCCCTAGAAGGTCCCTGTTTGGGGACTTTGAGCATCCGTGGTCTGTGGAAAGTGCACACAGGATATCCGATGATTGTATGTAGATGCTCATCTTTCTGGGGAGAAGTCTGCAGTTTCTGTTAGAATCCAACGTGGCCTGCTCCACACACAGCGGCCTGAACAGGGAGGACATGCTTCTTTAGGAATTCAGAGAAAAAGAAAACCACGTGGATGGGCTCTTTCAGGAAGGTTGGCTTATAGAAGAAGTCAACTGTCACCCAGACATGAAGGATGCTGGGAGTCTGGCAAGCCCTCCAACTAGGGGGGAATGAAAGATACAAGTTGGGAGACTCAACAAGTCTTCCAAAAACAAAAGGCTTCTCCCTCAAGGTTCATTTACTTCAAGATCATTATGAAATGAGTCCTTTCACATTGTTTTCCAAGTAGTCTAGAAAGAAGGCATTTCTCCAGCCCCTGGAGGAGGGCTAAGAGCCCGTAGAGACGGCCCACACGTACCTGCCAAGGGCGGCACTCCTGCCTGGGGAGACAATTTGGGGTGTACACACGGCGTTTTCTATGACTACTTCCTTGGCTCTGATCTCAAAACCATTCCCAAGGGAATTGGCTCCAAGGCTGCTCAGTGGAAAACAATTACTCTCTTGAAGCAACAGTTCTCTGCGAACACTTCCAGTTCCAAAAAAAAAGGAAATAATTGGAGTGTGTGCGCATACACACACACACACATGCGCACGCACACACACACACACTGTTGTGGTTTTTTTTTTCTGTTTTGAACTCTGTTTTTGTTTGGGAGAAAGAAATTAAGTAATAGCACTAGTTGTTTTCCCAGAACATAAAGCCAAATAAAACCGCCAGGGCTTGTGTTGAAAAGAGATGACCATAGTTTTTGAGGAAACTTGTTTGTTTTCTATAAACAGGACGTAATAAAGGACGCAGGTCCAGGGTGTGGGCGCTGCGCGTGCTGGCCTCTGCCTGCTTACACCAGAATTTCGGCGCCCCGTTTTCCTGAATAGAACAAGCACTAAAGACTTTTTCTGCAGCTCTGACTATTTGAACGGGGAATTCTTAAGCCAATACCCCTTCTGTCAATACAGAACAGAAGGTGAGAGAAATAATTAGCAAAATAAAATAGCAGCCCTACAGGGTTTCATTTTTCTAATACTTTTCTTAGGCTAAGATAATGCATAGGCAATGCACGGCTTTTGTTAGCACTTTGAGTGAGCCAATGCCTCCTAGAACCTACAATTTTTAGCATCCCTAGTGCAAAGACTTTAAAAAACCAAAGACTTAGATTCTCTGTCCCATAACTCAATATTTGGGGGACTAAGAAGACCTGGTTGATCCAAATATTTTCCGGCAACATAGTCACCATATAAACCACAGACCAGTCATGACTACTACAATGACATTATTTATAGAACATCACATCTTTGCCAAAGATCTGTCTGGCCACACTTGTCCTCAACTTGAGTATGTGTCAAAGACAGATTATTGAACCCATTTCAGAGATCAGAACTGGTGAGTCAGGTATAGCAAAGTGTCTTTCCCAGAGTCTTCAGATGGACTCTGAACTTCCTGATTTGTAGTCCCACTGCGTCACCAGAATTCACGCCACTGAGGGACCTGCTCCGTCTCAGGCCAGTGCCTCTAGCGTGCCTGCTGCTGCTACCTGCCTGTCTTCGTAGCAGCGTAAGCCTGACCCCCTAACTGCAGCGGT